ATTGAAGCCCACCCAGTGAAGGGCCAAAACAGAAATTCAGTTGTACTATCAAGTCCAGTTCGTACGTAGCACCATGGGTACCAAAGATGAGAAAAAAATAGTTCTTGCCCCTCAAGATTATGACCATTACTGCTACTTCTTGATCATTCAAGAAATGTGTTGCAAGATTTTGGAAAATTGAAAGCGAAAACGGTTACGATTGAAGTAGACRAGTACAAAAATGGCAAAGGAAGAATTGAAAGGGTTGGCTGCCTCAATCAGATCTGCGACCGAAAGCGAAACCTTTGATTTGGGAGGCCTGCCTTCCACGACCATCTCCCAAGTGATTCGGGATGCCTTCTCTGAAGACTTTGATTTGGGTGGTTCAGGGATGATTCGTGTCACGCTGGTGGTGGGAGCAGGGAAAGGCAATCGATCGAAGTACGACCCGTCAGCTTTAAAGCTTGTTACGACGGCATTAAGTGGTGCTGGTTACATTGAAGATCGAGGTGCTTCATGCGTAGTTGAATCAGCTGGATGCTACAAGTTTCAGCACGATACAGGGAAGAATTTAAAAACGGTCGTCGTCTTCCCGAAAATCCTCGAGGAAAAAGCAATCGACTCGAAAACTTCGTCGTCTTCGAAATCTTCGGCCATGCTACCACCCAATTCGCTGGAGTATAAGATTGCGGTGTCGACGGTTTCTCTTTTCACAAACATGCTCAAGTGGAAATTTTCATCTTGGTCGCAGAAACGATCTCTTCTAAATCTCATAGAAGAAACCTTGGTAGGACCCCTCGAAAAGCTTGATGCATCGTTGATGAGAGGAGGGCAAATGGGTGAAGACGAGCGCATTTTTTACGAACAATGTGTCTCCATTTCGGACAAGAAGAGGCTGGTCAAGGATGCTATGAGCCAACAGGTACACGAAGGGAGTTTGACTGCAAACGARGTCAGCTTTCTGCTCGACCAAGTGGCCTCTCGTATCCAAGAATTTAAATCCGGAAATCAAACAGTTCCTGATTCCCTCCAGGCGCGGCAAGCCAAACTCCAATCCATTGCAAAAAATCCAATTTCACCATCCCCCCTCAAGCACCATGCCGAACTTGCGAAACTTTGGAAGCAAGCGGCACCATTGATGTACCTGAATAGAACTGGTGGAAAGCTCCTCTCTCCGGCCGAAACAAAAAAACGCGGCCAACTGGACGACATTTTGAGTGAAATTGCTAACTTGGAAGAGTCTAGTAGGGGACTCCTTGAAGATGACGAGAGCTATAATGAACGCATTTCATCATATCGAAGGGAGTTGCAACAAAAATTTGGCAATCTTGGCGGAAACGAAAAGAAAAGCCGAACGATAGGAAGTGGTATGCCCTCGTCGTCTTCGAACAGAAAGAATGATACTTGGAACTCGACAACTAGGTTTCAAACACCGCGCGTGGGGGGAAGACCCGGAGGTGATGGATGGATGTCTGGCAAAGATAAAAAAAAGAAGAAAGGACGCCTCAACAAAGGAGATCTCTTCGGTGCCATGATGGCTGATTCCGATTCTGAATCTGAAGAGGAAAATCATGATGAACGAAATCCCATGAGCCCTGGATCAACAAATAGGACTGGCGCTACAAAAAACGGTGCAATTTCTACCGAAGTCAGCGGAACTCCTCATGTATCGAAGAAGAAGAGAAAGAAGAAGAGAGCTAAAGCTACATCGTATTCGAAGAATAGTGACGATGATGCGTTCCTAGATGCCGCAGTGGCTGCTAATACTGAGATATCGGAGGAACAATCAAAAGCTATCAAGGATGCATCTTTGCCATCTGAAAACACTTTAACAGGAATACAGAACATTGCTTCAAAAATGTTCCACGTASTCTTTTGGGCTCTGACAAAACTCATACTTCCAATTTTTTTGGCAATTTTGACGCGGCTTTCAATGACCTTGTTCGGAACTAAAAAGAACAAGAAGAAGGCAAAATAAATTGAGGGATAAGGAATCCAATAGATATACCGGTAGGATAAACCAATGTTCACTACAAGCAACAATTCCAATACAATTAATTTYAACTTGAAGTAGATAAATATTTACAAAATTGTTGATAACAAAGACCAGCACTTTTTGTTTTCAAGAGTGAAGTGGACAACAGTAACTACTACTAGTAGTAAGCACTCAGCACAACCATTGTCCTACCAGTAGTAAGCACTCAGTACCACCGTTGTCCAAGAAGAAGAAGCTGCCCCAAGAGGAACAAGCATGATCCACCAGTACATACTAAAACAGGAGGAGGAATTGCCAAGATTTGTCAGTCACACCACCAGTCCATGCATTCCAGTGGTATTGCTTCCATGTGCAACACGTTCCCCTTCTGATAACAATCCTGGTTTTTGTGGGAAGTTATGCAAGAAAACTGGTATGACAAAAAACAAAGTGTATTGTTGCATGGTTTCATCCTTTAGAAAACAATGCATTGCATGGGTCATTCCTGTCCTCCCTGAAGATCTTGTTTTAGCTCATCCTTCATAATACTAACTGTAATCACTAACACTATTCAAAATCCATTAAAGWACTAAACCACCAAACTAAACAACAATTGTCTCAACCATGGGAATTGATGCTGCTTGCAAGAACAACCTCCCCCCAGCAATTGACAATTGACATCAAATTGGCAATCAATGCCATTGGAATCAATTGTAGAATTGGAATGCATCATTAACATCCCCAGAAGGGGACCTTGAATAGGAAAAGTATCCTATCTGTTTCCCTCAACTCTTCAAAGGATTCAAATCCACTGGTTTCACTCATGAAGGTGTTGAGGATCTAATTGATACCCACAGTGCTGCATTGATAATTATACAACAACAAGAAGAGGTGAAGAATGACCTTTGTATCATCCAGTTCTTCCAGTATAAGGCTCTCCTTCATTATTGGGAATTGCCCCTGGATAATTCTCATACCCAATTCAGACAACTAGCAGACAGCTGTTGCTTCCCTGTTAATTACTATGGCCTGGGCCTTCTCCCTTGCATTCTCCCTTTTGGTGGTATTTTGGCAGCTGGTGTGACAGGGTCATTTTGTTGGCTCCTGATGAGATAATCAGCTCCTTTGACCTTAAATGCAGAATCAACAACAAGTCTCCCCCCAGTCCTATTATACATGGCTTCCTATGCCATACTCTGCTATTGTACTATGGTGCCAAGAAGTCCCAGGGGAGTTATATGTGATCGTCTGGATTCTTCTGTCTGGGGCAAGCATAAGGACACTATTAATGTACATATCAGCAACCCAGGAGTTATAGTACATGCTTTGAATAGCCCATTTCTTTGAATGGTGAATATTAACCTTCAAGCATTCAGCTGTGCCCCAGACCCTCTTTCTTCGAAAGCACTTCATACTTTTTTCCAATGGCTGCCACATAGGCAGGGCTACTAATAATAGCATTTGGGTGATTTTCCAGTACATAAAGAAGGACTTGTGGAGAATACTTCAAACATTTAGAGAGGGGTGTTGAAATGAGACCAAAGACCATACTAGATAAGGTCCTTGCTGCTGATCCCCAGGTTCTGAACCAAGTCAAGAATAATGCCAGACCAATGGTTGCAGTGATCTCCGTCTTATTGCCCTTTGGTTTGCCTGTCTTAGTGAAGAGGAGACGTGGTCTGATCTGCAGAGTTTTGTTGTTGACTGTATGGATGAATGGGGACCACTCATTCATCCCCATGAGGAGCGCAATCCTTGGCATCCTTCTGTCTCATCAGTGCCTGTCCTCCAGAGAGAGTCAATGATGTGTCTCCTTCTCTTCCTCCTCCTCTTCAAGGGAAGCTGTCCATGCAGCAATTAACACCRACTCAGGGGACATTTTGCTGTGAGGGAGGAATCGATAGCCAAATAGTGAGGATGGAGACAGGGTTTTTTTTTTTTTCATGAAATTTTTCCAGCCGGGTCTGTATCACGCTAGGAGGTAGGTTCAGAGGGGCAGTTGCGACGAAGCTGAGGAAAACAACATATATTTTTCAAACGTTTTTAACGGTTGAAACTTAAAATAATACGAAGTATGCCGTTGTCCACGAAGAAAGGCGTACGTACTCACAATATGGTTTTGTTTGCTTAGGGCGCAGCAAGTGTCTCGTCGGCCGTTGGAAGTCGCTGAACAGCGCCGGCAAGCTGATGTCAATTGGAGTCACGTTTCGAGACAGATTCCTGATACGCTGCAGCTACGACAGAACACGGAAGAAAAGGCGCGCTTACTCTTCGATTTTCTTTATGCACCTATTCTGACCTACCGGTACGTTCCGGTAGAGCCTACAGCACAATATGAAGTATTATCGCCACCTACAGGTATCGCAGTAAACATCAAACAATATCGAAWGTTGTAGACACCTTTTCATCAACGTAAGAATAACATCTATGTTCCGATGTCTCTAATACTCTTAAATCAACCACTGGATAAAGAGAGTTAAAAGCCGGAAGGAAACCTACTAATATTCTAGGCATCAACTATTGGGGGGGGTCGTAAATTTGCGACGAAATATTCTGCTTGTATTGGCGTTCCATAAAGCGAGAGACTGGATTGAGCTAAGATAGCGTCTTCGTATTTCAGTCGGTTATCTCATACGTTTTGAGCAACGCTCCTGTGTGCACACATCAATCTGCTAAGATAGGCCTTAAGTTTGCATGTATCGCCTTGGAACAATTTGCAAATTCTGAGTCCTTGCATCAAAGAAGAGAACTCTGATGGATTGAAAGGGAGAATCCACCAATCGGTCTCTTCTGCAACAATTTTCCCACCGGACTATTGCCATGGAGCATTCAGAAGGCGGCCATCAGGAAAGACGACCCCAAATACCACAGCATTACCTTCAGCAACAGCAACGACAAGAGCAAGGTCAATCATTAGGCGGTAGACTTCATCAGTTACCACCAGGAGGACAGCAGTCTAGATCCTGGGTTTCGCAACAACAACAACGGCAACAACAACATTATTTGCAAAGAGATCAGCAGCAAGATCAACAGCAAGATCAGCATCAGGGTAGCGGCGGTATTCGTCATCCCTACAATCCACCGCAACAAGGTGATATCACTTTGAATATGTCTGCAGCAGGGCCCATAATAGACCCCCATCGTCGAAATGATTATCTGTCAGCTTCTATGGTAGCGGCGGCGCAACAGCAGCAATACATCCAGCAACAGCAGCAACAACAATACGAAGCAGCTATTGCCACATCAGGGGGTGATCCTCGTTTGGCATCATCAACGCAACAACATCAACAGCAGTATGCACRACATCTTTCCTATCAACAGCAACTACTGATGCAACGAATGACAGTATCGCATGGGGGAACGAATCATCCCCCGCAACATGGCACTACGACACAACAATCACAACCAAATATACACAACCAGATGGGAAGGCTTTCACAACAACAGCAACATGCTCCCGGTATGCCACATCCATCAATTGTAGGTGGAACGATAGGCATGCCACCGCACCATGTCCCAATGCATCAAACTCAACATCACCTTCCACAACATGCTGCACAGTTGCCACAGGCACCTTACATTCAACCAAGAGTGGGACGGTTACAAGCGGATAGACCCCTCATTAAACTTACTGTTTCATTAATCGACACTTATAAGTGCATAAACAATTTGTACTACCAAGAGCGGGAGGCGAAAAGAGCACTTCGTGCCAGTAACAACGCAGCATCGTCGTCCACGACAAATGTTGCTCAGCAACAGAAACAAGCACAACTGGTTCGTRACGTTGCAATGCAATCGCAGTCCCAGAATCAACAACGGGCAAAGGATCAGAAGAAAAAATCAAGAGCATCTCCGCAAAACCAAGGAACCGGAACGAATAACAATGGATGGGATGACGACAATTACGACTACATTATTAGGCCTGGAGAACTTTTCTACAATGATCGATACAAAATTATGGAACGAATAGGTAAAGGAAGTTTTGGTCAGGTTGTGCGAGCTGTAGATCTCGATCGCGATGTCGACGTTGCCATTAAAATCATAAAATCAAAGAAGCCTTTTCTGATGCAGGCGAGGACAGAAATCGAGTTGTTGAATCACCTGAACGAAAAGGATCCAAATGATCAGCACAATATTGGTAAGAAGTCGTATCTACGCAGATATTTGAGATCCATACATCGGAGTGAGCATTCAAGTATTCTCACAATTTCTTCTCTTCATTTGAACAGTACGGCTGCTGACATCTTTCATGTATCGAAATCATCAATGTCTTGTTTTTGAAATGCTGTCATTGAACTTGTATGAACTCCTTAAAAACACGCAATTCGGTGGTGTTTCGCTTAACTTGATACGTAAATTCTCGAAACAAGTTTTGAAAGCATTGTTGTTTCTGGCTCGCCAGGATGTCGATGTCATACACTGCGACCTGAAACCCGAAAATATTTTGTTGCGGCATCCTAAGAAATCGGGTGTAAAAGTTATTGACTTTGGCTCCTCTTGTCGATCTGATAGACGGATGTATTCATATATTCAAAGCAGATTTTATCGTTCACCTGAAGTTATCCTGGGATTACCGTACGCCGTGTCGATCGATATGTGGAGCCTGGGGTGTATACTGGCTGAGATGCATACTGGAGAGCCTCTCTTTTCTGGTTCCGATCAGTTTGATCAAATGCAAAAAATTGTTAAGGTGAGTTCGCTTTGTAAAAGCTTTTTTCTCTAAGGATAAAAACCCTTCACAAGTTGGATGTTTCTCATTCGCGATTCTTGACTTGTGACAAACAGCTGTTAGGAATGGTGCCAGATCATATGCTTGAACAATCAAGTGACCAGCATCGTCTGCAATTTTTTGAGCAAGTGATCGGGCCTTCAGGACGAGTGAGTTGGAGTATCAAGCAACAGAACACTGGTGGATCCTCTCGTGCCGGATMCTCGTCTAGAGTAGATGCAGTGGGGCAAAAACAAGATAAGGAAATGCAAGACTTTCCGTCTTCTTCTAGATCAGCTGCATTGGTTGTACCAAGTAAAAATCCGGCGAGATCATTGATGGAGATAATAAGCGCCGAAACGCATCGGAAAAAGAAATATCCACCTAGTGAAACAGGAAACTCCCCCCGCAACTACGAACTCTTCGTAGATCTGATTCATCGAATGTTGACATTTGATCCACGCAAACGAATCAAGGCAGAAGAGGCATTGAATCACCCTTTTGTTACGGGTATTGCGTCGTAGGCTACTGAAATATACTACCATGCCACCACATTGAGTACGATGTCCCGAATCGTGTTCAGGAAAAAATTAACTGATGAAAAATGTTTTCAGTGCCTTTTCAAGAAAGTAAAATTTACTTGGAAGAAAAGGCGCGGGAGCGTCGACGGAAAGGAAAGTCGACAAAGATTGAATTCGAATTGAACTTTRGAAATGAGAAGAACTAAAATCTGATGCACATATGAACGATATTGGATATTGGAGCTCACGAGATTTGTGGAAAGTCTGGTGAATGCTACCACCAATTCTTCCCTTGTCGTTCGAAAGAAAGAAGAAATCAACTGCATTTGATGCCTTCAGACATCGGCTTACTGCGTTCTTTTGTTATGTGTTATACCACGTCGACGGTGCATGCCCTTTCTTCCGTGATTCTTTAGGCGAGAAGAGAGAAGTTAGTGTGACTCTTCACAGCATCTTTGGTAACTGTAATCGCAGCTCTACTAACTTTTATGTGATAAATGTATCAATGTTATCAGTACTTCTGATCCAATTTTTTCTCTTCATAAATGGACTGTGCTCCTATGAGTAATAGAAATGCAAAATATTACGTAATTCTTTGCCTAGTATTATCACTACTATGCGTTGCGGATCAATTGAAATTATGTTTCACAGGGCATTCCAAATAATGTTAACTTGACATTCCGAATGTTGGTACCGTGGGGCATCCTAGAAATGAGTAATGTGKTTTTGCTTGAATTTAACTTGAATTCAATGCCACTTCACATTCCAAATGTTAGCAGGCGAGGTGTCCTTCTTCTCTTTTTAAGAAACAAGACCAAAATTATTCATTTTGGATGCTGGTGTGCTACCAAATGAAGAATTGGGATTATACCAGGATCTACGCAGGCCTACAGTGATATACAAAGATTCCAAACGATAAGTCTGATATTGGGAACTTTAACTAACATTCAGAATCCCATGTGAAACTCWATTTCAATTTATCAGCATAATAATATATTTTGGTTTAAGATGTCTAATGTAAATATGAGAGCTCCTATTTATGGAAACTAATGCCAAGTAGTAAGAGATATATCCTGGAAGCTTTTTGTTATCCATGTGTACTACTAGCATCACAGCAGAATTTTAGAGGAGAGCCACTCACAAAGAATCTGCTTCTTGCAATTTATATTGGAAGAAGTACTCATAACATAAGGAGATGATATTAGAAATATGTTCAAATATTGGAAGCACATTTCAGCCTGAATTGTGATAGCTTATTGCTCTGCATTCAATAAAGTACATGGCATGGATATATGGTCTCATAAGTAGACTACAATGTTTACATCCACTCTACCGTCCCCTTTGAACTTTATAATCTTTCTACTTCTCATATTCAATAGAGTGGTCAAATCACAGGAATCTCAACTTATCTGAGATACTGGTTGTCCAGCTAACACAGTGGTTTGAGCACTCTAAAAGAATACTCCAACACCTGCTGTAAGGATTGTCTAGTTTGTTGAAACATTTTCTTCCAACATGAAAAAGAATTCAATCCCTGCCAAGACTAAGCTGTAGTAGAATACTTTGTTGCTACTGTAATAGACCATTCAAAAATTGAAGAGAACTAATTCTTCATCAACACAAAACTTGAATATCCAGTCAATATTGTGATTGGTCAAAAATAGTTTCTAGCATCAAGAAACCCTCTGTCAGAGTCCCTGTATAAAATATTAGTTGAGCACTCCCATATCCTATAATCTCTGGTTGGTGGGAGGTATTTGATTGTAGAGCCAAGGTCTTGAATGGCTACTGTCTGGTGAGGATGCTACTTCACATTAGGGCAAAGGAAACAGACTCTTCATGACTGGATTGGATACCTATGTGGATACTAAAGGCAATGTTCTGGAGACTTATCATGAGAAACACCCAGTCTTCACTTCCATGGGGAGCAACTCAAGTAACATGGAAGAGGACGATGGCTTCATCTATTCTGAATGTTTGTTTAGATTTGTGAAGCCCATGGATTGCTCTGATGACAAGTACAAAACAGATGTCTTTGAATGCCCTGTAGATGCAAATGGTAACAAAGGAACTATCCTMAAGATCTTGTTCCTTGAGAAGAGGAGGGGAGGAAAAGAAGCCTTTTGAATCTCCTGTTGCCATTAAGCAATCAAGTATCATATTTAGTAAGTCACTGCAACAACAAGCCCTTGTTAAGCAGCTCAAGCAGCAGCAACAGCTCAAAGCAAGGATTGAGCAACAGAAATGACTCCAAGTGCAGTTTCTAGAGAAGCAGCAACTGGCTCAGCAGAGGCATCAAGAGCAGCTTCAGCAGCAGCAGCAGCAGCAGGAGGAGGGGGAGCAAACACCCAGTAGTAATAAGAGACAAAGAACTAACACTTTTCTTGCTTCTCCACAATGGCTATTAGTTGCTCTAGACCAGCAGCTCTTTGCCAGAATGCTGAGCAGTAATGAGGATTCTTTTCATTCAACTGATTCATCAATCAAGTCCTCTAAAAAGGACCCAATCATTGCCTTCAACAATGCCAAAGGACACATAGAGAATCTTGAGCAGTATTTCAAGTAATGACAGGATGGAACAGGATACTAAGCATTGTTGAAATAGTAGTAATTATGAGTGAATAGTATGTACAAGACGCTAATTAATTGAATTTTAAGAGACYCAGGCTGAGTCTCATTTCCAACAAACTGGTTTTTGGGGGGCTGCTCAAGTCTATTTCAACTACTACTTGAATCAAGATCTATTTCCAGACATAAGATGTATGCTAATAGTAGTAGTATCAAAAGCTGGTGATTACATGAGTCATCCTTTTTACTATGTACTACTATTTAGAGGAATCCCATGTGTGATCCATCCCTCTGAACTATTGCCAGWCCAGTTCACCAGCTGGCTCAATTGAATTTCCATAGGCCCAGAAAGAGTATACCAGCTATCAAGGCAGTCTCTAGGGGATTGCTCCTATCCACTACTGCTGCTCTTTGGATCCACTCCTCTTACTTGTCAGGGACTATATGGTCTGATTAGTGCTTTTTTACTAGAAGTAGCCCACTTCATAGTCCAATCCATCTTTGAGTGTAGTTTCACCATTGGTAAACTTGAGCTGTGTAATTACAGCAACAGCATTGAAATATAATCCATGCTTCTTTAGCATTCCTGCCCTGTTTGGTTTCATGTGCCTGAAATGAGTGGCAAGAACATTGAATATCTTGACCAGTTGACCATTCACAGTTTCATGCTGTGCTCAAGTATTGCTTTCATCTTCCTTTGCTTGCTGCTCATTCCCATATCTGGAAGCTTCATCTCATTGTCTCCCCTGTAGCCCTTATCAATTTCAACTCCTTCCTTGTCATGGAACAATGGCCCAGTCCTTTCTTTAATATTATTGCACCAATTGCACTTCCARCAATAAAAGGACCATTAATCCAAACAATCCATTCAGTCTTTAAGCAGACCCCTACCTCATACTTGACAGCTGGTCTGTTCAACTTGTGGGAATACACGCCTCTCAAAAATGACCATGGTTGAAATACAGGGCAATCTATTCCATCTACACTCATAAAGCAGGTTATATGAACTTCTTTATCTTCACCATTGAACCTATTTTCAAGACTCATCACCTCATCATTTAGGAGCTCAGCAATTCTTTTGACAAAATACCAGGACCACTTTGTAAAAGTTTTTGCACAGGGCCATCCAGTTATAGCACAGTGGACTTTGATAGTCAAATAGATTTTTAGTTGAATCAGAGCCCACAAGAGATGCTWTGGTTCTTCTCAAGAATCAATAGGTCCATGGTTTATTATCTTGTTCCATGTATGTGCTACTACGACACTGACAGGAGCTCCAAAAMATGCTCTAAATCTTTATCCATATTCCCCTGCTTTCTTTCTGGCCATCAAAACACTTCTCTTGCAGCTGCTTCAATGGTATCGGTTGTTATCACCATGGTCTAAATGATTGTTGTCATAAGATGTACTAAAGCAAATGAAACTTAGCTTCTACTGCTGGGTCCTTTTTAACAGTTGAAACAACCAATTGACAATTGAAAAGAGGTATTGATTGATAGAAATTACAGGGTCTAAGATTGAGTGGAAGTGCTTGAAATAGAGCTATTCCCATGGTCAGTTGCTTTGAACCAGGGAGTATTTTTAGAACCAAAGAAGAGTTTAGATCAGCTTGGGAGTTTAGGTGGACCACAGTAGACCCCAGTATGATTTTGAACATATAATCAAAACCAATGGATTTTGACCAAAATGTGCATTCTCCCTTCATTTGCATATTTTCTACAKGGTTTCTACACAGCTTTTGTACTACTACACACCTCCCAAAAAAACTTTTCTTTGCTCCTCCTTGAGCAGGACTGCTGCTACTACTAGTGTAGTAATACCACTGTGACAAGTACTAAGAATGCTGGTGTGCAACGCAGTAGTAGCACACTGGCAGGACACAGCAGCCATGATCAAGCTACCATCAAGCTACCATCAATCTACCAGAAACAAGTAGCCAGAAATCTACAAGAAAGGTACCAGAAATTCTGGTAGCTTTCTGGTAACTTTCTGGTAGCTTTCTGGTAACTTGGTGGTAGCTTGATGGTTGCAAGCAAAACTTCCCTTCAGCTATTGTTACTTAGTACACATGACAAACAGCAGATGTCCTTTGAATAGATGATCTTGCTGGCATGCAGAAGCCATGCGACCAAGTGATATTGTTAAGTAGTACCACAACTAAAATTTCAATTTTGTTTGCTGTCTATTGGGTGATTCCTGCAAAAATAGAAGCTAAATAATTACATACTTTCAGTTGCACACGCATAAAAGTATGTGTTTCTATCTTAAAATCATAGATTTTAGGTAGTAGCATGCTTTTGACTACCACAAAGTATGCACACACATACTTTTTTTTGGGAATTGTGGACTCAAAAATGTGCAAGTCACGAGCCATGTGAGCCAGAAATGGTGCAGCAAAACAAATCTAAAGCTTGCTGACAAGAATGAGTCCACAAAACATGACCATTAACACCATGCCACTTGAAAGGATCATCCTTAGTCTAGCTCTCTATCATGAGTTTGACTGGGAAGCAAATGATCTGTCTCCAGAGGAGAGGCCCAGAACAAGGGATAGGAGAACCCCAAGGATTGTAATCAGGTGGTGGAATCACCAGTCCCCTTTCCTCCACTTGTTTAGCTCTGGCAATGAGCAAGCTCTTCTAAACGGTTGTGGTGTAGACCACAGGGTCTTCAGAGGTCTCATGGCATTATATGTGCCAGTATTCAACCTCTACATGGTTGATGAAGCAACAGGCTGGATTAGAATGAGATGCTTCCACAGGAATGAAATGCCAAAGGGACACCAAAGGGAATCAACTGCCTTGTGTTGTCTTGGATCAACCCTGCACTGGTTAGAACCCGTGGTTTTATAGCAAGAGGCCTCTTCATGGCATTTGGACTCACATCAACAGTGATGCACAAGTGGATCAAGTTCTCCAGGTTTGTTCTCCTCTTTGTCTTGCAAGACCATGCATCCAGATACAATAGTCAGGGCTCCTGCCAGAGAGGATATTGATGCTTATATTGCAGCTATTAGCAAAAAGTTTAAAAATACCCACTTCTTGGACAAGAAAGGGTCTGGGGTGCTGCAGATGGCCTCAAGTTAGCAATGCAGACCTCCTCAAACTGGGCAACACAGATCATGTACTTCAATGGGTGGACGTCTGATACCTACTACGTCAATRGCATCTTCATCTTTGCTCCAGACTGCAAAATTAGAGCTTGCATCTTCAACTGTCCTGGAGCTTGGCATGACAGCACAATTTCTGAGTACTATGGAGTCTACCGGAAGATGGAGCAGGAGATGTATGACTTGTACAGAGCAAAGGTTGTGGTCAACTCAGCCTTTAACTTGCAAGACAAGAGATACCTTGTAAGAAGCTCTCAGAGGGATCCAGATCTCCTTGCCAGCAACAACATCCGCAACAGCAGCAGCAACAACATCAACAACAATGCTGCTACTAGAATTGCTCTACCAATAAACCAAGAAGCAACCTCACTGAGACAGCTGTCTGAGTGGGGGATGAAGATGATCCAAGGACCGTTTCCATGACTGAAGGATAGGATCAAGCTTGAGGATTGAGGTGAAAGGAAAGTTCTCTTGATCACAGTAATCTTGTTGTACAATTACCAGGCCAGCAATGTGGGCATCAATCAGATCCTTAAAATGTTCATGCCCAACAAGAAACACAAGAGGGGGTTCTTCACCCATTTGATGAGGATGCAAACAACTACTTTTGGTGAGATAGCTGATAGCCGCAACAACAATACAACAATTCATCCCAGCAAGAACAGATCCAACATCAATACAATACATCCCAGCAGCAAGAACAGATGCAACATGCATCATAAACACCAAAAAGATCAATGGAGACACAGACACCAATACATCCCAGCAGCAGCAACAGAGGCAATGCCAATGCATTCCAGCAGCAGCAACACTGATTCAACAAAACACCAATACTATGACACACCAATACACCCATTCAATGGAACAACAATGCAGCCATACAGCGACAATTCCAATGGTCAACAACCTACCACTTTCAATCAATACAGAAGCACAGCTAAGCAGGTTTAAACTTATTGCATATCATCTTCATAACAGCAAAGTGAGATATCTCTGGGGGGAAGAGTAGAGAGCAAGAAAACTATGGGTTATACCTTAATTTGGATTTTGTACACAGTACTTCATGTTATTTGAATTTTTCAAAGTTTCACATGGTCCATTGAAGCATTACATATTATATAAAATATTGATGAATTCATATACATCATTCCATGATGAGGCTACAGGAATAAATACAATAAGAAATATATATTTTATATAGATTGAATGAAAGCAAAGCAATAAGAAATATTACCCTTCTTCAATATCAAAGTGCTCTTTTCCATCTCCAATATCTGCCTTCATGCCAATCAAGTACTTGGCCCTCTTGGCAAGTCTCACTGCCAAAGGACAGTTTGAATCTCCAGTAGGGCTGTTCTTCCCATGAAGGGATGAATACTTCCGACAGATGGAGGAGACATCTCTATTGGCTTCAGGACAGTTGTTCTGAGCATGAGTTGCTTCTTCTTCTACTTCATGCCACTGGTCACTCCCAATAGGAAGCATTGTAAGATGGTGGTCATCAAGTCAATTGTTTCCTGAGTGGTACAGTTGCTTTTTGTTCTAGACCTCCTGCCTCATGGGGCTTGCTGCTGTCTTACTAAAACCATAGTGTGGATTGATGTTGTGSATCGATGTTGTGGATCAATGTTGGGGAATCCATGTTACGTTTTTTGTGTCTTGAATCGATGCCCCAAACTAAATGCTTTTTGCTACATTCCAAACAGTTCCTCCCCCCGGGGAAGGGGGGTTTCTCAGGGTTCTCAACTTTTAAATACTGTTGACATGATTCCATCAGGGGTTCTTCCTTGTCTTCATGGTCCTTTCAGTGAGGATGCTAGCCAATAGATAAGAATTCTGGTCAGTTACTTCAGGTTTTGTATAGTGAACTGGTTGTGGTTTACCTGGGGTTTTGGGTTTGTTTTTGGACACTTGCTGGCACCATGTGTTCTCAATACTCATTGTTTTGGTGTGCTTGCTGGCACCATGATGTGCTCTCAGTATTTGTCAAGAATGCAGTTATTTTCTGTTCATTTCAACCAAAATTTCATATTCCAAAATTAAGCACATGATCATGTAGCACACCATAATTTAATATCTTTGATTCTATGTGCTTACATACTCATTCTTGTAGACATAAATTTGTGAAGTATGTCAGCATAGATTCTGTGTTTAYGGGAATCACCCATTACTAGTAGAAGTATCTATTAGTCGTATGTTAGTTTTTCTACCTCTGTATTTGCGCTCCTGCAGGTTAACAAGGTACTATGTAGTAGTTAAATGGCTGATTCGGAAGGGTCCAGTAATCCGTACTGAGTCATACTTCTAGTAGGACTGCGAATACGCTTGTGATGGTAAATTGGCTACGGTGCACTACTACACTGCACTTCACTAACTTTAGTGCGCGGTAGCCAGTAACTTTGAAGAATTCTTACAGCCCTGGACTTAGCAGGAAACAAAAAGAAACTTGTTTTTAGTGTGGATTTGTACAAACCCTGGTATACCATTTTTTGCAAATAAATTAGTACCTTGACCAAAAATAGATTATTCATTTTTAACTTAAACATGCAGTCATTGTTGTGACAACAAGTCATTCTAGTAGCAATACTACGGATATCATAACAAATGGTCGCCACACTAAGAAATTGGTTCCCATCGTTATTTTAATGATGCCATCCTTAATTTTTTCAGTACAAATTCTATAGAGCTCTACTGAGTGTTGCTCCCTGAAATTTTCAGCATGTTTTGCCTTCTGAGAAAGAAGCAGGATTGGTTCTCCGCCACCAGAATAGTTGCAAACTACCTCAGTACATTTTGTACTGTGTTCTACTGGGCTAAGGATGGCATCATTAAAATAACAATGGGAACCAATTTCTTAGTGTGGCGATCATTTGTTATGATATCCGTAGTAACACCGCCATCCTTCAAAAAAAAAAAACGGCGGCGGCCGCAACCAATCCCGAGTAGAGTTCAACTTGTTAKCACGACACGTACGTACTTTACCAATAACGATACAATAGTAGAGGGGGATGAGAGATAAAGTCAGGTTTTGCTAGGCGTCTCACTTCACAGATAGGTATTACTTCTACGTAATTACCGTACTTGTGACTGTCGATGATAATTCGAAGATTCCATTCGGTAACTTGCAGTACCAGGTACGATGAAGCATGTTATGAATCTCTGGGAAGGTCTATCACGCCTCTGATCTCTGGACAATCACAATTCTTCCGGGTAGAAAACAACACATCAAATCAGATAAATAGTGTTGAGAAAGATTTTTGTTGACTGGAAATGATGCCATCGACGGTGAACGGAGTTTCACAAATGACTCAAGCATTTCCTTCTCGAACACAGCAAGCTCGTGCAAATTGGCTTCCTAAATACATTATTGTATTCCTATGTTTCTTCCAGCTTCTGAGGAGTACAAGCTCTTTCACTGCTTGCTTACAAGGACGACATATATTGAGCGATAGCACTTCGGTGTCAAGTAGAGGTGACTTTAGCTTGAAATCATCGGCGAATAATGTGTGGTCGACACTTAATGAAGCGATCGTTCTGGATCCAATCTCAGGGAGACAAAGTACGGCACTCGACGGAATTAAGCCAAAAAACTTCGATAATTTCTTCGAGACGGTATCCGCAATGGTTGGCACAAGCAAGAAACCAAGAAACAAAGAATTTGTTCTCGTCATTATCATGCCACAACTTGGGGACTTTGACTCAGCTGAGTATGCAGAGCTCCTCTCGTATGTGAAAGAGGATCTCCGTCGAGCGAGAATTACATTGCGCATCATAGGAATTGGCAACGCGAATTCGGCGAGGCGCTTCGCGAATTTTTCGGGGTTGGATTTGGAATCAATTCGCGTGGATCCCCAGGGCGAGCTCCATCGAGCACTAGGTTTGCACAGGGGGCCAAATTGGGATGTACCCTCATTTGTTCCAGAAAGTTTTCTGAGTTGGTTTTCAGATTATGTAGGCGTGGATGACGACATTAAGCGAGATTCCAAAGCAATTTTCAGATCGTGGCTGAATTATATGGCAATGTGCGCCGGTATCGCGAGCCCCGATACATTGCCTGAGATCCTTCGCGGTTACATCGGTGATAAGAAATCTCCCGAACGCCTACGGTCAGACGAGATTGTGACTGTCGGAGGAACTGATCCCGCCATAAATAATGAAGATTCCAAAGACCCCTTTATTGCGATTACCGGCACCACTGATGTAAAACTTGGACCACTCAAGTACCAGCAAGCGTGGAAGGATGAATCGGGATACCAGCGTCCATTAGAATTAGCGACTGTTCGCCTCCGGGTCATGATTGAAGTGCTGAGTAATTTTGCAGAATACGTTCCTGATCAGCGTCATCTTGACCTTCGAGGGGCGACTTACTTGTTTGAATGGGCTGATAAATCGAATGGAAATGAGAATGACATAGCAACCTTAATATATGAGCATGTCGATACCGGAGTGTTGTCGTACAGCAAGACTATGGGGAGACCGCTGTCGTTCCTTGAGCCTTACATTGGGAAGAAGGCATTGAATCCGCTTGAGCTAGGAGATATTGCCGTGAATCAATGAAAATTCAAGTCGATCCAAAAGAACTTTGTGTCTTCAGTCACTTTTAGATATTTGTATTAATGATATCCCTGGCTTTGCTGAATATTTGTTGAGAAACTAGTTTTTCGAGGAACTATTGCAAACTATCTGTGTTTCAACCTATTGTATAAGCTTACCTCTTCTTTGAAAACTTCTATTACCTACTGCAGTTTAGCACTTTTATTTTCCTACCCCGTAGGGGTAATAACATTGAGATTCTTCTGTCAGTTCTCCGTCTTCGTCCGTTGGACAATATTCTTCACATTCAGCTGGATCTACACATGCCTTGTAGGTATAGCATTTATCAAGCTGATCATTCTTAAAAATATTTCCGAACTTCATTCCCCTGATGCACATTCCACCATTTTTACCAATGATTACAATCATTAACAAGGACAAGATCACCAACGAGACGTTGATACTCACTCCGATTAGATGGATGTGCAAATCTCGTTCATCCTCAGACTGGGAAGTAATCAGTTCTCGGCGCTCTCGTAATAAGCGGGTTTCCCGTAGATCTCCAATATCAGACATTGTTGTCTGTTCATGCGAACTGCGGCTCGCAATCGTGCTACTCTGTTGCATCTCCGCTTCGTCAAAAACGGAATCGTCTCCGATMATGCTGTCGCTCTCCGGACCGATGCTCAATGCATCATCTGAACCAGGTCGAGATATTGATTTGGAGGATTTTCCATTTTCGTATTGATTTTTCACTTTCCTTTTAATTTTTCGAAATTCCTGGATATCCTTTTTTGCTTGTTTTAGCTTGGCTTTGCGTTCACCATACAACTTTACTCTCAGCCGGTAACTGAGAACCTCGCACCCAACGGCGAAGCCCTCGACAATCCACATAATAATTGCTTCCATARTGCTGTCACTAAAAAAGACAGCGAAGGTTATGAGAAAACCGACGAAGGGATTCAACAAGTTGAAGGGGAAAGTATCTCTCATCACGGGTAGAACTTCCATAAAGATCAGAGCCATGTAGACAGATGTAATGACCAAAATAGTTTTGTCCCAATCAATCTTGCCACCAAAAAAAGCCGACATGATGGATTTTCCACAACATTGAGTAGTTTTACCGCCATATGTAATTATGGCGACTTAACGTTTTGGTAGAACAGCGGAGGTTGATATGACTTTGTAAGAAACGAGTTCGAAGMGAAAATGGGAAATGTCATTTCTGACCTTTTCTTACCTAGTGCATTCAAAAAGTCCATGAAGAGAGCCAACAAAGTGACGATGCGTATATTTTTTTTAATGGGGTGTTCGTTGGGATGTGGCGCCAGAATATGAATATATCGTAATGCTCTAATAAATCTGTTTTCACCTTCGAACTCAGGGTGTTGAAGCATTGCGATGGATGCTGATGATGGAGTTCTGGACAGCGTTGCGCTTTTCTGGGGAGATGAACCTGTCCCCAATCCTCGAGAATGTCCTGACATATCCATCGTCATAAAATTACGAATACTTTTTTTCATAGAGTTCGAGAGACTTCTAACCAATGTTCTTGACACCGTCTTTTGCGACTTTTCACCTTCACCTTCCATGTAAAWCGAGCGATCGTCATCGTTGTCGTCGTCTGATTCAATATCCGAGTCAAAGTTTGAATGCAGATTGTGCTCATTTATACAGACACTACGTTTGTATTTACTTTTGGGACTGTGTGGACTATGGTGACTGCTGTGGCGCARAATACCCTGACGATAACTGGTGGTCTTTTGTGAAAGGGGAGAAGGAGCTTTGTAAATGGTTTCGCCCGGTCGACGCCGTCCTCGTGATTCTCTTGAGGTCATACTACTTACCGAATCTCCCGAACGACTCCGACTTGCTCTCGATCTGTCACTGCTTGGTTTTCTTTCAGAGGATCTCGAAGTTCTGGGGGGTCCTCTACGACTTGGCTGCTGCACTCTTCCGCGCCCCCTACCACCCACTGGAGACAGAGATCCTCTTCCTCTACTTCCTCGCCCTCTCCCAGGATTTTGATTGGTAGACAAATGTGCAATAGATAATGTTGATCGATCAATCTTGTCAGCTAAGTCAAGGCTTTTCGATCTTTCGACATCACGCTTGGGGGTTGAACTTTGCTCGAGGCTCTTCGTCCTCGATACACCTCCTTTCTTCGTTGTATTTTTATTATTTTTCTTCGTTCCTTGGGGTCGAGGAAGATACGACGAAGATTTCGCAATTGTTGGTGTAACGGTAGAATGTGTAGTAGACGAATTMCCAAGAGACTCGCCGCCATCCGAGTKCTTTTTCCTTTTCATCTTTTTTGTTTTGGTCGATTTAGTTTTTGTTCTGGTCGATTTTACGTTGCTTTCACTCGTCAGCACAGACGACAGAGGCTCGTCATTTGTAGTCAACTTTTTCTTTGTAGCTTTGGATTTAGTYTTGGMTTTCGATTTGGATTTTGACTTGGGTGACGATACGGATGGTTGTTCTTTCTCCGCACATGGCAGGTGCTCTTCATCAGTTGCAATGCGACGTTCTTCCTGCATTGTGAATTCGGATCAAAGTATGAAATGAGTATGAGCACATGTACTCGGAGGCACCAACGACATTCTCTAGTCACTTCGCTCGTTCCAGTGTTTGCGGTGACGTTAATTCGCAATGCTATCGTAAGCTAGGATGCAACCGTGAAAATGGCCAAGGTAACGGGAATTTATGGATTTATTAGTTGTCTGATGCTTGCAAATCCCAGCAGATTAGACTTCAAAAAAGGGTGTGACCGTTACTTCAAAGGTTATTTCAAAACAAACCAACATTTGAGACTGGACAAAGATAAGAGAGTGCTTTTAGTCATTATTTTGCGTGTTGTCCAGAGAACACCTGGGCGTAATTGCATATTGGGTTATTCTTCATAGTACGACGAACGAAGGCAARTGAGGTGGAGACAGGTATGGAGTCAGTACAAATTGTACACGGCTCTACGGAGGGAACAATACACACCTCAYTTGCCTTCGCAACTTGAACCTGCCTCACTTTAAAAAAACAACAAGTATTTTTATATCGAAATATTTGGTAGTACTAATTTGTACGTAGGATGCTACAGACCTTGGGGATAATGGGTGATTCCCGCAAACATATTTCGGTTTATGTTAGCGGGAAGCACTTTCAGTGGTACAGAA